TAAAAGCCATATAGAACCATCAAACAGTCTTTGGAATTTGCCCATTTTCATCATTCCCCAAAAGTCTGGTAAATGGAGACTTTCGCATGACTTATGTGCTATTAATGTTAAGTTGCAACCTATGGGGCCCCTACAGCAGGCCCCCACTGCCCCCACACGTGGCAATTCCTTGAGAATGGCCTACAATCATTATTGACTTAAAAGACTGCTCTTATACTATTCCCCTTGCAGAACAGGATGGATAAAAATTTGCATTTACAATAACAGCTCTTAATAGTGAAAGGCCAGCTCACTGATTTCATTGGAAAGTGCTTCCTCAGGGAATGTTTAACAGTCCTACCATGTGTCAATATCATGTAAATCAAGCTTTGTTCCCCAGTAGAAAATAATTTCCTAATTGCAGGATTATTCATTTTATGGATGATATTTTACTAGCAGCCCCAACAGAGCCAGTATTTTTAAAGTTACATGCCTCTTTCATAAAGAATACAAAGTTAAGAGGTTTAATCATAGAACCTGAAAAAGTACAGATGTCTTCTCCTTGGAAATATCGAAATATCTTGGGTACATTCTAACTTCCCAGTCAGTAAGACCTCAAAAGGTTAAATTAAATACTAGCAACTTACATACCTTAAATGATTATGAGAAATTACTAGGCAATATTAACTGGCTTTGCCCCACCTTGGGCATAACTACTGATAAGTTACAGAATCTGTTTTCTATCTTAAAAGGCAATGCTGCCCTATACTCTCCCAGGTATTTAACTCCTGCAGCAGAAAGAGAAATTGAAGAGATAGAGCAAGCTATTTCTCAGAGACAACTAGATTGCATTGATCCATGGTATTCAGTTCAATTATTTGTTTTTCCCACTAAACACTCCCCTACAGATGACCCCAGGGCTATGCTTCCTAGAAGGGGTTTTTTGCTCACATACCAGGACTAAAACGCTCTCTCCCTATATCCAGTTATTCAGTGAAGTCATCTATTCAGGCTGCAGACGATGCAATCAGTTGCTAGGTTATGACCCTGATATCATCAGGATTCCTTTAAGTAAAAAGCAATTCAAGGCAGTATTGCCTTATCTATGGACCTGCAAATAGCACTCTCTGATTACAAAGGCCATATAGAGCATGCCCTTCCTGCTGACAAACTCCTTTAGTTCTTATCTTGTACTTCTGTGGTTTTGCCTACTAAAATAGTTCAATCCCCCATATCTAATGCTTTAACACTGTTTACTGATGGCTCTGGTAAACATGGAAAAGAGGCTGTCTGGTGGAGACCACATAATTCCCTCACTTGTTCTGGATTTACTAGCACTCAGAGAGCTGAGGTTGGAGCCTTACTATTGGCCTTGGAAACTTTTTCCGTTCAGCTCATCAATATTGTTAGTGAGTCTGCTTACTCTGTTTATTGCAGAAACTTGCGACAGCCCTCATTAAGTCCACCTTGGAGCCCAGCCTGTATGCACTTTTTCTCCGACTTCAGCATTTGCTAGATCAATATACACATCCTATTTTTATCACACATATTTGAGCCCACAGCTCGCTGCCTGGCCCACTGGCTTATGGCAATGATTAAGCAGACCTACAAGTTAGAACATCACTGTTTGACCACGCCACCCAATTGCATCAATTTTTTCACCAAAACTGGAGAAACTTATTGAAGCAATTTCAACTTACCCAGAGACTAGCTATACAAATTACCCAGCAATGCCCAGATTGCTGGCTCACAGGTATGTCCCTCCTTCTACAGGTGTTAACCCTAGAGGACTAGAACCTCATCAGTTATGGCAAACAGATGTGTTACACATGTGCCTGAATTTGAAAAACTAAGATATGTACATGTATCCATTAAAAACTATTCTCAATTAGTGCTCATGCCTTTCCTGGAGAGTCCACCCGATATGTCATTAAACATCTTCTTTTAAATTTTGCATTTATGAGGCAGCCTACAAAAATTAAAACTGATAATGGTCTGGCTTATGCCAGCTCACAATTTCAACAATTTTGTCACAGTGGACTATCCAATATTCCACAGGCATCCCATATAACCCCCAAGGAGAGGCCATAGTAGAACGTACCCCCTCTGCCCTTAAAAATATGCTCAGAAAACAAAAAAGGGGGAATATGAGTAAAAACCCTGCAACACTATTAGCACAAGCCTTATTTACCCTTAATTTAAAAAATTTAGATGATAAATTTCAATCAGCTGTAGAAAAGCACTTTGCTAAAACCTCTCAAGACATAAAATCTGCAGTTTTACGGAAAGATGTAAACAGTAATGTATGGTGTGGTCCAAATGAATTGTTAACATGGGGGAGAGGATATGTTTGTGTTCACACCCCCTCAGGTCCTCTTTGGATTCTAGCACGACATATGAAACCTTACCATAGCATGGCTAGGACACAACCCAGTACCAGAAATAAAGAAAATGACCCTACAGGACCTACAGCCCCAGACAATGTGGCTTCCTGGGACAACACAGGCCCTGGACAGGACTCTTAAGAAGAGAAATTAAAAGACTGAGCAAATCTGCTCTGGACACAGACACCATTCACTCCAGATAATTTGTTCCTTCCTATGCTTTATTAACTTTTTAACTCTGTCACTTTACCTGCAACCCCCACCTGCTACTCTCTATTGGGCTCATCTCTTAGATACACCTTTCTTCAGCCCTATTACTTAAACAAACACCCCCTTCTCAGCTTCTAACAACACAACTGCTTAGCTAAGAGAGATTGACATGTCCCAAATGGGGTTCCTCAATAACAGCACACATTGGACTAAGGTGCCCAGTAATACTACATGTTACTCCTTAATTGGAAAAGAATGTTGCTAATTATGCTCATATTTGCCTTCTATTATTGACTAATTCTAGGATGCAAAGTTGGAATGCGAGCAGTGCCCGCCATGCCTGACAAAGTTGTTGCTACACACATCTGTACTCTTCAATCAACAAAACCTGATGCTAAAAACAGAAAAGGGGGAGATGTAGGAGATAGGGTGGTGGGAAAAATTGTAGAAAGATGCAAACCTTCTCAGAAGGCAGGGAGCTTTTACAAAAGTTTCAGAAATGGATTCGGCTGAAGGTAGCCAAACCCTCTTATCCAGAGCCTGAGAGCAAAGGTTAGATAACAAAGAAATATAAATGAATTAATCTAGATAAGTTAGTTTACTTAGGCCTTGGAACCTGGCCTTTAATCATCCACACACATGACTGCTATCTCTGGGTAGAGTAACCATGTTAATTATGCAAAAGTGTGTTGACTCAAAGCCTTTGTTATTAAATCTGTACTAAATAAATGCCTACAGCACCAACTTGTCAGGGCCACAGCTGCTGACTCTTTATAGCACCCTCCTCGGGGTCTGTAAGTGGCCAGGTCCCCTAGCCCTCTTTTTCACTGGACACCCATGTCTGAGTGCATTCTTCCATCAGTCATTTGGCCAGGGTCTGCAGGTCAGACCTGGCAAAAGACAACTTACAGAATGGGAGAATTATCTGTAAGATTAAAATAGGATATTATAATGCTATTTTGTATGGTTTTATGGGAGAATGGCTATGAATAAAGACTCAAACAAAAGAAATACAAATTAAAAAGTTAAAAACATTGAACAGATTCTAAACTCTTGAAGTATAAAGTCAGAAGAACTTTTAGACTATGGGTTCTTGACCAGTTAAATAGAATTTAATGCCTCTTTTGGGAGTCCACTCATTCACTCTGCAAAGAATTTCCAGTATTGCTGAAACCCTAACAACCAGGGAGATCAACATTTACACTATCTCCAAACTCAGAAAAATAGAAAGTAGCAACTTTTCACAAAATGATGAGAATATATCTTTGAAATTGTGGGCTCTCAAATTGTACTTTCAGAAACCAAAGATTTTATGAATTACTTAATAAAGTCTGTAAATTATAATTCGAATCTCATTTCAAAAATTGGAACTGAAAATATGAACATGAAAACTTATTGCTGATTGAGTAGCCTTAATCCAAAACTATAAAATCTGAAATGCTCCAAAATCAAACTTTTTGAGTAACAACATCAGGCTGAAAGGAAATGCTCATTAGAGCCTTTTGGATTAGATATTCTGAACTGGTAAGTATATATATAATGGAAATGTTCCAAAATCCTAAAAAATATGAAACCTGAAATACTGTCACAAACATTTTGGACACAGGATACTCAACCTGTATATGCCAATTTTAGCATATAAGAAACCATTAACCTGCTAACCCTCCTTTATAGCATTTATAGTTAGTAAATGCTATAAATTTGAACTTATGAAGCAAATTAGTTATAATAAAATTCATTTATATTTGATATATTGAGTTTCTAAGAAAGATTTTAAGACTTGCTCTGTTTTTAAACAAAGTGAAAATCATTTATCTAGATTCTAGAAAATACACAATCAAAGAATCTGAAGAGAATGAAAATAAAAGAAGAGGAGACTGAGCTGTTACTTTTTGTAACTGTTCATACTCCAATGCCAATGAAACCCACTGGATGTTACAGTATGTTCAATAGTAAAATCTTTGCAAATAACACTTTGCAGTTAGTAAAAATACATGTTCTATATGAGCCAGTGTTTTGAAAATTATAATGAACACAAGGTCAATGTTGAGATGTAGCAAACTTTTTCTCTAGGCTATGAGGTAGAACAGGTGTATACTTACACTTCATCTTTGCCACAATTCCTATCTATAGCATGAAGGATTCAAATGCCTTCAAGAACAGCAATATACACTAGAGAAACACAAAAAGCAAGAAAATATTCTAATATTCTGGTGGTGTTTGGAAAATATCATAAGGTCTCTGGCATGTAATGTTATCTTATAAAACCTTATGTAAGACCATTCTGACATCCAGTTTGAGAGTAATTTAACTACTTAAATTCAGAAGAATCCCAGATTTTTTTTTTTTAACCACGCACCATTTAAATGAAAGGATGCAATACAAATAAGCAGTACCACCCTTTAAAACAACATATGCAAAGGATACTCTTCACTGTTCCGGATGTCAACCACCAGGAGCTTTGGTTTACTGGACTTTGTTTTCTTGGTGGGTGTTTTAAAGTGGCCTGTCATTGTGAGCTCACACAAGTCAATCAGGTCCTCTGCTGAAATTCGTGGTGATACTTCTGACTTTAGGTCATTTAATGGGATGGATTCTCTTGACTGAAAAAAAAATGTACAAACAAAAAAATATTGAGAATATCATAGAAAAACAGATTATCCCCAGTAATAGAATATCTTGATACCAAAGAATACAGCATATAAGAGAAGAGGAAACTATCTAATTTTCAGTCTATTGTGTAATTCAGTGGTCTCCAGCCCCCAGGCCATGGACTGGTACTGGTCCATGGCCTGTTAGAGACTGGGCTACACAGCAGGAAGTGAGCGGCAAGCGAGTCAGCAAAGTTGCATCTGTATTTACAGTTGCTCCCCATTGCTCCATTACCGTCTGAGCTCTGCCTCCTGTCAGATCAGTGGTGGAATTAGATTTTCATAGGAGTACAAACGCTGTTGTGAACTGCATATGTGAGGGGTCTAGGTTGCATGCTCTTTATGAGAGTCTAATGCTTGATGATCTGTCACTGTCTCCCATCACCTCCAGATAGGACCATCTAGTTGCAGTAAAATAAGCTCAGGGCTCCCACTGATTCTACCTTATGGTAAGATGTATAATTATTTCATTTTATATTACAATGTAATAATAATATAAATAAAGTGCATGATAAATGTAATGTGCTTGATTCATCCTGAAACCATCCCCCCCAACCCCAAACCCAGTCCATGGAAACACTGTCTTCCAGGAAAACAGTCCCTGGTGCCAAAATGGCTGGGGACCGCTAGCGTAACTGAATCTTTACTATTGAGGTTTACTTCTTTATTATTTACACCTATAGGACAGCATTATTGTTTTGACTGACTGCTCATGTTTTGACTACATGTTTTGACTGACTCAAACATGTAGAAAGAGATGAGGCAAAGTTTTCTTTATGAGAGTGCTGTGTCTTTAGAAAAAACAGCTCTTTTAAGTACATTTCACTTTTCTTTAAATATAAATTACTGTTGTTTTGAAATGCATTAATTTTAACTCAGGTAATATGAGAAATTGCACTGTAATTAGGCATATATAGTAATTAAAGAAACTGGTTCTAATACATGTATTGGACTTTTATAATATAATTTATGTTATATATAAATGGTTGAGTGGAAACTTGATTCTCAGAGATGAATAAAGAGCATCCTAATGATTTCTTAAATAGTAAACCAAACTAACAATGTGTCTTCACTGTGAAGGAGGTAAACTCAAGACTCCAGGCTATCAAACCCATCCACTGGTTTGTGTCTATGACATGGCATAAAAATGATTCAGACTAAGGGCTGTTTACAATTATTCTCTGTTTCTTAGCAGAAAGAAGGATGAGCCTTCCCCCATAATAGGCAATGCAATACAACACAACTAAATTCAACACAAATTTACTGAGCACTAGTGATCTCTTGAAATCTTACGTGACATGACTTGAGAATTTAAACACTGAAAAAATTCAAGTAATTAAAATATAAGGAGTCAAAAAAGTTTTCATTTATATGTTTCATAAGTTATCAAAATAGTCTAATAATTATCTCATTTACTCATTTTCTCAGTTGCATTGTGGAATTCTACACTTAGAATGTCCATTTTAGAATTTCTAGGTAAGAAAAAATAAACCATACAAATCATTTACCAGACAGATTTATTTTTAAAAAATGGTTTTCAATTGGAGTTTGATGTCAGCTCTCACCCCGTGGGTCTCCTCAGTTGTACTCTGAATTATTCAGTGGTAAAGTGCTTGTTCTCTCATTTCATTAACTTTCAAATAGAAATGGAAATTGCTAAGCTTTATGGGGTTATGGCTTTCAATAAAAAATAGGCATTAAGCATCTTAATTTTTTAATATTAAGAATTAAAGCTACTTAAACATCCTGAAATTAAAAGTGCTTCAGAAAGATTAAAGAGTTTTGAAATCAGCAAGCCACACAATCAATGCTTCCATCTCCTTTTTCATTAGATTGCAGTCTCTACAGGTATTTTTTCCAGCCTTCACATGAAGTCATACATTTATGAAGATAAAATAAAGAACTTTTTGATTAATCTAGTTCCACTTTTAGTCATTTTGTGATGAATGTGGCATTTCAAACTGAAGTTTCATCTGAGTGAAAAGAGTGCCCTGACTAATGAAGAAGAGGATTTGTCCAAAGTATTTTCTATGAAGAACTGACTGATTTAAATAAAGATTTGACCTCGGCATTGGTTCCAATCAAATGCATCATATGGGAGGAGTTTTTCAAAGGAAAGAGTATTGCTATATGAAATGGTAAGAAGAGAAGGAGAGGAACTGCTGACAAATTTAAATGTTCTAAACTTCCATGAACGTGTATGTGTAGAGAACTTTAATGTATACAAGTTCTTCTGCAAATTAATTTTAGGAGATTAGTAAATTAAATTTAGAACAAATTATACTACTTTGCTTTATGAAGAAAATAATTACAATATGAAAAACACAGAATTTAGTTTTTCATAGTTTTATAAGCAAATTTACTATTCATTTAAAATTTCTATTTAGAGGCATAAAAGTAAAACTGCACAACTTTTGTCTTATTTAGTATTATAGATATTGTGTGTCTATATCACATTTTCCTTGTGTGAATGGGGGTTTCAAATTCATGAGACTTTGTTTATGGGTAATGGACAAGATTTAGGATAATTATAAAACAACACTGGAAATGTCCATCAATTTATCATTTCTGCCCAAAGGCCTTTAGATACACTGCATGTTAAGCTTAGATGTCCACCCAGAAATAAATCCATGTATTTACAGCCAACTGATTCTTGACAAAGCTGCCAAGAACTTTCAGTAGGGGAAGGGACAGTCTTTTCAATAAATGGTACTAGAAAAACTGAATATTTATATGCTGAAAAATGAAATCAGATCCCTCTTACTACATGCAAAAATCAGATAAAGATGAATTAAAGACTTAAATATAAGACCTGAACCTATAAAGCTACTAGAAGAAAACATTGTGGAAATGCTTCAGGACATTGGTCTGGGAAATGATTGTTTGGATAAGACCTCAAAAGCACAGGCAACAGAAGCATAACCAGACATAGAACTACATCATTCTAAAAAGCTTCTTCACAGCAAAGAAAACATCTCAGTAAAGAGACAACTTACAGAATGGGAGAAAATATGTGCAAACTCTCCACCAGACAAGGGATTAATAACCAGAATATATAAGGAACTCAATAGCAATAATAAAATCATCTGATTTACGAATGGGCAAATGATCTGAATAAACATTTCTCAAGAAAAAATATGCAAATGGCCAAAAGGTACATGGAAAAAAAAAAGGTCAACACCACTAATCAACAGAGAAATGTAAATCAAAACCACAATGTGGTATCATCTCTCCTGGGTTAAAACTGCTGTTATCAAAAAGGCAAAAAACATGGATGTTAGCAAGGATGTGGAGAAAGGAGAATGCTGGTACTATGTTGGTGGGAATGTAAATTAGTATAGCCACTTTGGAAAACAGTATGGAGATTCCTCAAAAAACTAAAAACAGTTGCACCATATGATCCAGCCAGCAATCCCACTGCTAGGCATATACCCAAAAGAAAGGAAATGAGGATATCAAAGAAATATGCACTCCCATGTTCATTACAGCACTATCCACAATAGCCAAGATACAGAACCTAAATGTCTATCAATGGATGAATAAAGAAAATGTATATTTATTAATATACACAATGAATTACTATTCAGCCATTAAAAAGGAATGAAATCTGGCCAGGTGCAGTGGTTCATGCTTGTAATCCCATTATTTTATTGTGCCACTGCACTCTAGCCTGGGTGACAGATCGAAACTCCATCTCAAAAAAATAAAAATAAAAAAAAATAAAAGAATGAAATCCTATCATTTGCAGCAAAATGGATGCCATTGGAGGTCATCATGTTAAGTGAAATAAGCCAGGCACAGAAAGGCAAATATTCCATGTTCTCAATCGTACATGGAAACTAAGTAAGTTGATCTGATGGAAGTAGAGAGCAGAACAGTAGTTGCTGGGAAAGGTGGACAACGTGGGTTCGGGACATAGTGGGAGAGTGGTGGGGTGGAGGTGGTGGTGGTGTGGGAGATGGGGATGAAGAGAGACTGGTTAATGAATATGGAAATACAGTTAGACAGAAGGAATAAGTTCTAGTATTCAATAGCACAGTAGAGTGACTATAGTTAACAATAATTTATAGTGTTATTTCAAAAGAACTAGATTTGAAATATTTCCAACACAAAGCAATGATAAAGACTTATGGAGTAAATCTATATAAAGTATTTAGAATGGTGTCTGATAAGATATGTGCTCTGTAAATTTTTATCTTTTACCTCTTTTCTCATCCCTCACCATCTTGCCCCTTATACTTTAGCATTAGCACAGTATTTGCCTTTTCATGCCTCTGTGCCTTTGCACATGTTGTTCCTTCTGCTTAGAAAGCCACAACCTGTCCATCTAATAAATCCCTGCTTGCCTTTCAAATCTCAGTTCAAACACTACTTTCTCTGTGAAGAAAGCCTTTCTTTTTAACTCCTAAGTTTCTCTTCTATGTCTCACAGGTATCTGGTATACATCTTTATTATAATGAGATGGGTCATTTCCCACTAGACTAAAAGCTTCTCATGCATGAGAAAAATTATTTTTATACCTTGTTTTCCTCAGGACACAGTGTATTATCTGACACACAGAAAGTATTAAGCTATATATACTGATTATATCGGAATAAAATGGTATTTCCAAATCATCTACTTTTCATGAGTAACTTTGTGCTATGAGGTATGTATATGTTACCAAAACAGTGTGGACATACCTCTATTACAGTAATTACTGTTTGTGAGATATTATCTATTTCTCCATTTGACTTACAATAAGTCTCCTTGAATGGAGGTTCCATGTGTTTTCATATTTGTATCTCCAAAAGTTAGCACAAGGTCTGGCACAAAAAAACTCAATGGATATTTGAAAAATGAATGAATGAGTGAATAAAACATATGATTAAATGATTCTGCAGAGCAGAATCAATTCTTATGTCTGGATTATCAGACAAACTCTTTAGGGATGCCAAGTCATCACACGCTGT